GCCGACGCGCGCGGTGCGAAGGGTGCTGGCGCGGTGAGATGCTGAGTCAGTCTCTCCAGCCACTTAACTGAACGCATGTTGGCTCGGAGGGGCAGCTGAGCTGCTCAACGCCTCCCTTAGGAACAGGGAAAAACCTGTCTGTGTAGCGGTATAGGTATGTTCAGTGCATCTAAGCATGTGCATCTATAAGGCATGAAAATAAAGGATGGGGGTGTATGCAGAGGTGTAAAAATCAGAGTAAGCTCTCTGCCAGGCAGCTGGGACTGGAGTAGGGTGAGGTCCCCTCACGCCACCTTCCCTGGAGGGCATCTTGCAGCGTGAGGTTGGAGGTAGCCTGGGTAAAGTCGCCTGGGACAGCTAAGAGCTGGGGTCGAGGGAACTGCCGTTAAGAGCTACCTCTGTCACAACCACCCCTCTCCCCCTTTTTAGATGCTTACAGCCTTTGGACAAAAAGCACCTTTGAAAAAAGATGTTTCAGGCTCTATTGCAGCCCGAAGATGATGATTACGCTTTGGTTAAATGCAGTTTGGCTGCTGAGACCTGCTGGCTAGCTGCTTGCTGTCCCCTGAGTCTGTCTGGTAGCAGAGCGATGTTAGAAACGCCACTCATTTGCACCAGGTGCTCAGCGTATTCCCCACGGTGCCGCTGTTCACTCCCAGATGTGTGTGCTTAACACCTCTTTGAACAAAGAAAACCCCTCCGTCGCCCTCCTCCTACAGCAAACATGGACCTTGCCAAGCCTGTTGGGCAAATGGATGTCATGGCTATATTGCAAATCCAAGTGTTTGTGGTGGCAAAGGGTGACACAAGCAGATGCCAGTATTGCTATGGGATTGTGGGATGCAGGATGCATGCAGGGATGTAGCAGGGGACAGGAGAAGTGAGCCCAGGGAATGGTTTGGTACAGATGGACTAGCTACTTTGCACTTCTGGAAGGTGGCCTGTCACCTGACCCTCCTCCACCATGTATTTTTACCTTGTGGCCAAGTTTACTGTTGGCATGAAAAGTAAATTCCCAACTTCTGTGCATGATTTCCTTCCCCCCACCCCACACCTTTCTGACACAGTTTTAACTGAGTTCTACAGAAATATGCCCAACTTATATGCTGCCACAAGAAGGGCGTACGCTGGCTGGTTCTGGAGGATGAGAGCACACCACCCAGCATCTACCCACCCCCATCAAAGCTTGCTGTGCATCCGTGTCACAGCAGGTCCACAGAGATGAGGGGAGAGTTCACCTTTTTGGGACACTGCAGGTCTCTGGCTAGGCTCATCAGCAAGTCATGGGAGATGGGATCCACCAAGTTAAGGAAGGTCGAGTTTTTGTAGAGCACTTCATTGAGGAACGTTCCTTCCAGTCCCAGGTCCTACAAGAAAAACAAAGGCAGTCAGAAACACAGGCTACAACTAGAAGGTATTTCAAAACCAGACAGTAAATCCCAGGAGGTGCCACCTGGTTACTCAATACAGGAAACTCCCCAAGAGAGGTGAAGCAGCTGTGTCTGATCCAGCATTACAGTGATGGAGGATGTGGACAGTGTTAAGCTGAGCTAGTCAGCATGGGGACTGACCGCCTTGTTTCCATTCAGCATGGGAAGGTGAGAGCAATAACATTTCAGGCCAGCTGAAGCCTGGAGAGAATTAGCTCCAGAGAAACTCATAGCTTTGTCAGCCTCCCTGTGCAAATCTGCTGAAGGAGCAGGGCAGGAGGATTGGCTCTCAACCTGCTACTTCAATCTCAGCTTTTCTGGAAGAATCAAACCCTTCTGCAGGAACTTGGAGACCTCACTGCCATCCATCCTGGTGGGGGCTAGTTGACTGAAAGCCCAGCCCATCAGTGTGAGTGTAGCTGGGCTTGGAAGTTCTCAGGAACTGCTAAGCACGGGCAGTATTGTCTTTAATGGTAAATCCGTAAGTAGCTCTTGAGCAGAACTGCTGGCCATGGGGAGTCCTCCTCCCATTTCCTTCCACAGCGTGACCTAGGGGAAGGTCTGTGGTCTGTGCGACCTCACTGCAGGACTGCGGTACAGCGTGTGCTAGGAGAGCCCTCAGCGTCTTTGGGAACAAAAAGCATCCCTGGGGCTGGATGGGTGATGGTGCAAAGAACAAAGCTGTTTTTTTGCTGAGAGAAAAGCTGAAATCTGATGTAAGACATGCAAGTTATTGCAATGAGGAGGTACCACAGAGCTGTGGAAAAAGAACTGAGCAGAAAAATGGGATCCTGGCAGAGAAATCACAGGCACTCGCATGAAAAAAAATCTGAGGACAGAAAAACACTCTGGGGCAGAAATATGGAACAAAAGAGCTCCCTGAGAGGGGTGGTGCTGGGTTTGATTCAGTTGACAAAGGAGGGCTCAGCTGAGGGAGAAAACAAGTCTTTGGGCCATTCTGCATGCTGCTGCCAGGAGAAATGAATAAGCAAATGGGTGCCCCATATGTTCGCACTGCTCCGCTGAATGTGTGCTTCAGGCACCACCCAGTGAGAGATGCACTGAGAGCTCTCAAAAAAAGACGTCGCCAGCAGGGATGGAGCCAGAGCTGGCAGAGGTGCAGGATCTTAGCCTCAAGCAGCAACCGAAGCCATTGCTATACCCCTCTCCCCTGCCCTGGATCTGTTCAGGTCGAGCAGAGAGTACAACACCAAAGCGTCCCTGGCTGCAGATCTGATGCAGAAAGGAAGAACAAATCAAATGCTTTACAGCCCCATCGCTCTGCGTACGCAGATGATGCCCATAAGCAAACCAGGGACCCAAGCAGTGGGTCAGCCCTGAAGGACAGGCAGCCCCAGCCGGCTGCGGGCCAGGAGCGTACCAGGGCGGCGCGCCACTGTCTGCCTTCACCGTGAGGCTTTGGGGGAACGGAGCCTCCTACACTGAGTATGACCCGCGCAGATGAAGAAAGCTGCCGAAGGATGGCATGGCTGGGCATGCAGCAGCGGATGTCAGAGTGCTAATTAAACACCACCAATTGGAGCTATACCATTAAGATGAATCTGCACTCCCATTGCAAATCCTGCCTGCGAGGGGTTTATTAATAACGTAGCTGTAAATATTAATCTTGTGTTGGTACTCTGTAAATTCTCAGCCCAGAGGCATGTTCTTGTTCATCTCTTTGTCTCGTTCTTTCCTCTTCCTACTCTCCTTCGTCTTTTCTTGGAAAATGCTGTGCCATCTAGTTAGCAGAGGGCAGAGTACTATGGGTCCGGCCAGTTCAGCTGGCTTAGCGCTGTTATCCTAAAAATGATGCTAGGCCAGTGTCTCGGTGAAGGGAAATCAGATTGCACCAGACCTTTTGCTGGTGCAAGTCTGATACCCTCGCTGGCTCCCGCTGAGCGATGCCCGCTTACGCCAGCGGAGAGGCCGGTCGGGCCTTTGCAGGTGGCAAAGGCAAGGTGCTTGCAGTGGGGCCGTCAGAGCGCTAACGTGCAAAGCAGGCCAGGAAGCGGGCGCTGCCGTGCTGCTCTCCGTACACTGCTCGCTCTGTCTCACGCGCTCGCTTCGCGTGTACACCCGCGGTTTGCCGCTGTCCTCGGTGTGCCGTCCCCTAAAGCGCTGGGAGCTTGCAGCCCTGTTTGGTGGATCTGGGCCTGCTGCCAGCCCGCTTTACTCGATCACACGCTGCCGCCCTCCCGGGTGGAGCTGCAGGGCTGGAGGACGCGGGCTGCCCCTGCCTCTCGCCCGAGAGCCGCGTCCCCCGGGGGCTGCGGTCGGGAGGCCGCGATTCTGGTCCCACGCGTGCCCTGCTGTCCCCCGGGTGTTTGCGCCCCGGCTCGGGGCTCAGTGACGAGGTATGGCGCGAAAGGGTCCTCGCTGTCCGCTAGAGCTAACGAGGCGTCTCCCTTATTACAGGCAGCCAACGGACCCGTGCTTGGGCCGCGTTACCCCGTGACTTCCGAGAGCGTCGCCGCCAAGGTGAGCCAGTCCGCGCAACGAAGGCCGCGCTGGGGGCGAGGGAATGCTGTACACGGGGAAAAAGCCTGATCGTGGTGCCCAATAACGCTGGCCTCGGACAAGGGAGGGGGGGCCGTAACAGCCTGGCCCATCCGCTGAGGGTAGTGGTTGAGCTATGTCCGCGCTCAGCGCGGACGTGGGGAAGCCAGGCGCTTAGCTGATCCTAAAAGGAGCTGGCAGGCCCCGTGGAGAGGAGGGTTCAGAAATGACCCTCACTCCAGATGGCCCCATGACTCAGCATGCAAACCCCAGCCGCTCACGCACGGACCTGCGGGAGACCTCGAGGTCTCCAAGGGATTTCGGAGCTTCAGTCTCAAGAAGAGACGCTGAGCGCTACAGAAAATGACATTTTGTAGTTCTGGCCTCTGGCAAACCCTGCAAAAGTCTGCTCCTATCACGGCAACCGTGAAGTGAGCGGATGCTTCTCTTTCTTCACTAGCTTCTTGTAATAGTGCCTTTCTAAGCTGTCTTTGAAATCTTACTGAACCTGGGTCTGCTGTTCCCCTCCACGCGTACGGGCTGGGCGACTGTCTATTTATAAGCGTGACAAGATGGGTGTTTGTGGGGCTGGTAACGCTCCTCGTGTGAGCTCTATGGCAGCCAACAAGAAAAGTAAAGAGAAGTAGACCATTGTCTAACGAGAGCAACGTGATAAGCTGCAACTGACTGTGGTTTATGTCCGAAGTCGGAGGGAGGATTTGTCGCCCGTTGTATTGATGGCAAAGTTGCCTGCAGCTGGGGGGAACCGAGTTTGCCCGGGAAGGGAGGGTAGCGCGGTGGGAGATGGAGGAGATGGCTCTGTTCCAGCAGCAGGGCTCTGTCCTCAGCATCATGTTTGGCACCACGCTGTCTGCACGCTGGCTTTTCTGGTCCCGAATGGCGGCAGCCAGAAACAAGCTCCCCCTGGTACGCTGACCCCTCTACCTCCCCTCTTGGGCTAGGCTGTCCCCGAGGGCTTCCCCAAAACAATTCGCGATGCTCCCAAAGACAGCTCTTGGCCCGCCCGGCTGGGGGTGGGGGCCTCAGTGCTGAGCGCCCCCGGGGGCTGGCGCGGAGGGGCGGGCATGGGGGCAGCTGAGGCTCGGACACCCCGCTCT